CATGTCGTTCGAATGGACACCGACGCTCCAGCTCTGAAAGTATTCAACTCGGAACCCGCTGGTGGTAGCAGAGGAAGAGGGAGGCCCCCACTGCGATGGAAAGATCAGGTGGAGAAGGACTTGGCTTCACTTGGCGTTTCCAATTGGCGTCAGTGGCGCAGAGCAGAAACGACTGGCGTGCTTTGCTGAACTCGGCCAAAATCGCTTAGGCGGTTACAGCGCCAAAAAAGAAGAAGAAGAAGAATGTTTTCGGACGGTGCTAGCTCTTATTAATTAATTAATCCCAACGGTTTTTAACCTCCTTTCCCGCCCACCCGACACGATGGGTGCACTCCGCACGACGTACGGAACCTTTTTTTTGTTTTGTGTTTCGGTGCCGGGTCGTGAAAACAGGAGTTCTTTAAGTGTCGAGATCTAAAACTATTCAGCTACAGAATCAAATTCATCAGCTGATTGGGTATGCTAAAGAGAGTATTTCAATTATTGAGAGTGGAAATGAAATTTTTCTGAATCCCAGTTAAAATCAAAGAATGCAAAAAGCAATAATTGTTTTTGATTTGATTCAATCTTTTCTGAATGAACTTGGGAACTCCAAACAATAAATCCATATTCTAGGTCTAACTAAAGTGGTAAAAAGAGCTTTTGTAACATAAGGGTGTTTGAACTCTTTTGACCTTCGCTTTGCAAATGCAAAAACGCCTTTGGCTTTATTAACTGTAACATTAATATGAAGGTTGAAATTAAGTTTGGACTCCATTGTGATACCAAGATCGACAAATTTGGATACCTGCTTCAGATTTTAATTTGAAATTGACACCCTTTTTCTAGAACCCGAGTTTTCGTAATTCGTAATTCGTAGCTACGTTACGAAAAACGAAAAATCGACATGCTGCAACCCTTGCGGAAGGCTGTGCAGCATTTCCAGCTATCAATTGTTTTTCGAAGTTAGTATGAAGGAAATCAAAGTGGAAAGGAATTAAAAAAACACTCATCATGTGCTTGTTTGGGTCTGTGCCAATCGGTAACTTTTTTCTCTGTGGTGAGACGGAGTGGAAAAATTTCATTACGGTGTACAATAAATTGAATTTTGCTGTGCCTAATGCCATGGTTACTATGCCCGACTGCTCAGCATACCTTTGAGAATCCATTGCCATAGCACGCTCTTACTCCACAGCTATAATTGCAAATGCTTCCGATCCCACAATTTTCCTCAAAATATATAATAATAATATCTAATAATAGATTGGCGCTTACACATATGTTAGTGTTAGGCAGAGCTTCTCCTCCGATTTGTGGCGTGTGCCTTGATGTTATTACACAAAGCGGAGGGACCTACAGTTTTACTCCGACTCCGAACGGCGATTGTATTTTTATATATATATATATATTTTTTTAAATATATAAGTTAACCAATTTTACTATAAAGGGTCTGTGCCAACTGACAAAAAAGAGGAAATTTGAACGGATCAAAGTAAAAATTTGACATTTCTCGTGGTAAATAGGTAAAATTTTGACAGCTTATAAACATGTATACACATTATATTGCTTGGCTGTTATAAAGTGTGAACATGTAAATGAAAGCTGAAAATGCAAAAAAAAACTCAACCTGAGAAACAGTCCTTGTTTCATACAAAGAATATAACCTTTTTTGTTGAGAACGCTATGATCCTCCACTTGAGGTACTGTTGAGAAACAACGTTGGAGATTTGAGAAATACCTTAGTTCTCAACTTAATCTCAAGTTGAGCTCAAACCTAAAAGTTTGTTGGGTTAGAACACCCGCAAGCATATGAAAATGAACACAGCCAAAGCGAAATGCGAAGTTCGCACGGCGGCGTTTCGTTGTGATAAATTTATTTCTATCGCCCCGCTGGGCTTTCAAAGTTTTAGGGCCGGTTGTTCAATGTCTGGTTATCACTACTTGCCGGTTAAACATCATTATCGACGTTTTCGACATCATGCATATAACATGCGATCGATAAAGCATACGATGTATTTAACCGGAGCTTCTACCTCCGATTAGTGATAATCAGACATTGAACAACCGACCCTTAGAGGTAAACAGCATATAACACGAATTAATTTATGTGTGAACAATACAGCCATCGACTGCTGAGATCTGGCTTGAAATAAAATAATTTATAATAAGTTCTCTTTATTTTATATTTATATTTGATATCATTTCCAAATATGTTTTCGCTTTTTCTAAATATGGTCATCCAAACTATAAATGCGACGAAATGGTATCAGCTGTTTTCGCTACTACGCTATATCGAAAGGCGTATCAAACGACGCTTATTACTATCAGTATTTTGAATCTGAAGGCGGAAACTGATTTTTTTAAACCGCCCAAAAGTTATTTGCAAAAAACAGTTTCATTCACCTCAAATTTGTCAGTACTAAATTCACGTTAATGAATGCATAAAACGAAACATATTGGTATCTAGATGTTCATTATAGTTTATTTTAACTGGATTTGTAAAAAAAAATCGCGACATTTATTGATTTAATTAAATATTAATTCGAAAAAAATTTACAAAAAACCGGCGTCGTATTTAGAGAAGGTTTTTGTCCTCGTTGCTCGAGACTGTGAATTAAACTCCGAAGACGATAAATAAACGGCAATGCTTTACAACAAATAATTCGTTAGGCTGAGTTTATTTGGTTCCGTCTCTGCCGGCTTGTGAACAACGAGTGAATTTGCAATGTAGTTAAAGATGGAACCGTGGTTTACAGCGTTGCCACATGTACAGATAAACATAAATTACCGATTCCAAAAATGGTGACGGAGTTGCCGGGCGATGCGCCATTGCTTGCGGAGGCAACAGGTCTTTTCTGGCTGGGTCCTGATGCTTGCCGTGTGGGCTGTGTCTGCCGAACCAAGAAGGAAGTGGTTAGGAGTGAGCGGCTCCTCCTGGTCAGGAGTGATCGGGAGATGCGTAAGAGGGCGAGAATTCACGATGTTCTCGGCTTCAATAAGAAGACATTGAAGTGTATGTTCCCTAGGTGCAACCTCCTTAAGTGTTTGGCGCAAAACTCTTTTTATACACTGCACCATTCTTTCCCACACACCTCCTTCTGATGGGTTAACTGGACAATTGAACCTCCATTCTACACCCCTGGACGCTAACTCACCCTGTATTTGCTCGCAGTCGAAAACTTCGGCGAACCTCTTAGCCTCTTCATTAGCTCCAACGAAATTTTTTCCGTTGTCGGATCTTATCTTTGCCGGCACCCCGCGACGGTTGATGAAATTGCGAATCGCAATGATACACGAGTCCGTACTTAAGTCGTGTGCCAACTCAAGGTGCACCGCTCTTACCGTCAGACAGGTAAAGAGGGCAACCCATCTCTTCTCATGGCGACGTCCAATCGTAACCGCAACGGGTCCGAAGTAGTCCAAGCCGGAGTAAGTAAAGGGTCGTACAAATGGATCGAGACGATCAAGCGGAGCGGCTGGTGTTGCTTTTTGTATGCGGCAAACAAAACTATTTGCTATAATATTTCGCAGAAGTTGACATAAGCTCGGGATCCAGTATGAATGTCGAATTTCGCATATGGTAGCTTCGGTATTCTCATGTTTGAAGGAATTATGATGATAGGCCACTAATAACTTTGTAAGCGCATGCCTGGACGGCAGTATGATCGGATGTCGGGTTTCGAATGGCAACGAACTCGCAGCATCTATGCGACCTTGCACTCGCAAGACTCCATCTTTATCTGTATAGAGCGACAATTGATACAGATCGCTGGTACGTGATATGGGAATTCCCTTCGCAATATTCTGAAGCTCAAGTTGAAACGCTTCTTGCTGTGTATGACGAAGCAGAAGCTTCTTAGCGGAGTCAAGTTTAAGGGAAGTTAAACCGAACCGTAGTGCCCACGCAACGGTTCGCCTAAGTCTATTAAATGACGAAAAACGATTAATATCAATACTCATGATCACCAAGGAATATCTCGGATTCAACTCCTCGTCTTCCTTCAAATGTTGATCACTGATGACTTCTTCTTGTGACCACAACGCTTCATCCCTTAGAAGGGATTTAGGACCGCATAGCCCACGTAATGCGGCTGTGTATTCGTGGGGACCGTTTGGTCGAGTTGCCTCATCAGCTGAATTTTCTTTTGTGGGAACCCATCTCCAATTCGATGGCGTGGTTGCAGCCAGGATCTCAGCTACACGATGAGCTACGAATGGCTTGTAACGTCTGTGCTCGATTCTCATCCACTTCACGACTGTTTTAGAGTCTGACCACAAGATGCAGTTAGATGCCTTAACTGAGTGCTCTTCTTGTAACGTTTGCATCAGCCGAGTACCGAGAACGGCTGTTTGGAGTTCGAGGCGTGGAATTGTGACTGGTTTCAATGGCGCGCATTTTGCCTTGGAGCATACGAACGCAACATCTATTCTTCCCGCTGAGTTTATGGCATGCCAAAAAGCTACGGCGGCGAAGGGTCTTCGCTGGCATCTACAAAGACGTGAAGCTGCAGTTCTTTTGGTGGACCGCTTCCAAAATAATACCTCGGAACTAGTAGGTTTAGAGCTGATGGCAGCAACTGGCGCCACTTGTCCCAGGCCAGATGTATACCATCAGGCAAACGCTCGTACCAGCAAATCTTCTGCCTCCAAACCTCCCGCATGAGAACTTTTGCTGCAATTGTAAAATGGCTCAAGAATCCCAGCGGGTCGAATATAGACATCACTACGCTTAGCAATTCCCTCTTTGTTGGACACCTATCTCCGCATATGATTCCCTTATCGACGTTGTGGCATCTCAGCTTGAACCCGAATGTGTCATTTGATGGTTGCCAGAACATGCCCAAAACCCTTTCGGTAAACAGGCTGTCTTTACATAATATTGGAACAGTGGCATCGACACCGCATAAAGCAGCGACCACCTCCTCTGAATTCGATGCCAAGTTTCTCAACTCGAAGCCAGCGCGTTGATGAATTTCTCTTACTTGTTGTGCCACTTCAATAGCCTCCATCTTATTACCGAAGCTATCGACAAAGTTGTCCACGTAGTGATGTTTAAGAATTGACTCGACTGCTCGTTCGGCGTGATCGGTGTGCTCCTTAGCATTGAGTGTTTTGATGAACTGAGCTGCACATGGTGAGCAAGCAGCACCGAATGTCATCACCTTCATTTCGTACACATCTGGTTCTTTCGTAGCATCGCCATCCCGCCAAAGAAACCTTTGAGCACATCGATCCTCTGAACGAACCAAGACTTGATGGTACATTTCTCTAATATCGCCGCATACAGCTATTGCTCCTTCTCGAAAGTGGAACAAAACTGATGGTAGTGCACGTAGGTCTTGGGGCCTTTCAGCAGCTGAACGTTGAGCGAAGTACCATACGCTTCGGCTGCAGCATCGAAAACCAGCCTAATTTTAGCTGGTTTGTTGGGGTTTTCCACGGCGAAGTGCGGCAAATACCACGTCTTATCCTGGACCAAGGCAATCTCTTCCGGCTTAAGTTTTGTTGCATAGTCCTTCTTGATGTATGAATTTATTATTTGCTTATACGACTCTGCAAAGTTATTGTCTCGCTGCATTTTCCTCTCGATACCTATTAGTCGCCTGTACGCCATTGTGTAACTTTCCGGCATACTCACTTTATCATACTTCCATAAGAGACCTGTTTCGAACCTTCCATTCACCCGACGTGTTGTTGTATGTAAGATTTTCTTTGCCCTGATATCAACACCAAAGTTCTCTATAGTGAAATAATCGGCAACCAAATCATGGAGGTCTGGCTTGCGTAAGAAATAGACACTGCGGTGTTTTGTGCGGAGCGTTTGCTGTTGGACCAAACACAGTCCAACCCAGTTCCGTATTTACAGCGTACGGCCCATTGCAGGTGATTTTCATCACTTCCGAAGGCAGACCCAAATGGCAGTGGTCAAGGCCTATGAGTAACTCAGGCACAGCTCCTTTGTAAGGCTCTAAAGGCAATTGTTGCATGTGCCTCGTATGCTTAAGGTCAGCTTGACTTAAGTTTTGTACCGGTAAGCTCAAGTTCGACACACTATGGACATTTCTCAGAAGGTGCTTCTTCCTCATCCCAGCGCCACTGATTGAGAGATTGACAACCAGGCTTGGCTCTTGAGCGGCACGACCTCCAAACCAGCGATACTTTTTTCTTCACTATAGAGTGTCACTGGTAGGATTCGGAATAACAGCTTTCTCTTCGAGTCATTACTGGCACAACTCAAGACCGATTGTCCACTGGTGTGATTTTGTTGTACTGCAAGAGCTTCAGATGTTTCGGAGGCGGGAGTCGATTTCAGCATTAAGTCGTGCAACAGTTTGTGATGCGCTCTTGTGCAGCCATCTATACCACATGTCTTTCGGCGACAGCAAATCACGTGTTGAGTGACCAGCAATGAGACAAGAGAAGCATAAACGATGGCGTTTGGCCTGTGCCCATCGATCAGCCACGGTCGATTTGATGAATCGTTGACAATCCGCTGGTTTATGGTTATGTTGGCAAATGACGCAGTTAGTTGTTATCGTGGAATGCTTTTCCCTCTGCTCCTCCACTGCATGCAGGACAACGGGACGTTTGGTTGTATCTTTGCTCTCAAAGGTTTGCACGGTACATATAAGATTAGCGGTCTGAGTTAGCCAATCACTAAAATGCACCATGGTCGCGTATGGTTGAATCACTGAGGCGCACTTGGCCCACTCGATTCTCTTGCTCATCTGTAGCTTGTTGACTAGCTCTTCCATCAACTTTGGATTCGCTAGGTGCTGATGAGCATTTGCTGGTTGTAAAAACGCAATAAGATTTTGTACTTTAGTAGCGTAGGGTAGGGATGCCCAAATCAGTACATATTTGTCGCGGGCGACTGCGCGTGCAAAGCTTTGCACAGCGGTGCTGGGCAAGCGCGGAAGCAAAAAGTTATCGGAAGAGGAAAACGAAGTCAACAGACTAGTGAGATTGTATGTGTGACAGTGATGGAAAATGAGTGTGCATTGTGCCATTTTCGGCCCTTTCGTAAGCAGCCGGCACCTTCAGCACAATCGATTGATTTTCGGCACTATTTTTGCGTAACTCAATGCAACTAATAAATATTTCTTTCGGATCCACAATTAAAAATATTTTTTTTTACATTTAATCGTATGTGTTTAAACTGTTAAATGATATAAACATAGAAACGCAAGCAGAAGAATCTCGCTTCCACATTCTGCATATGCGGTTAACATTTTTGTTTAAACAAATTTGTGTCGAAATTTCATCTCTAAAGCAAATGTTAAATATCATTTAATATATACTTTAGATTTAAATAATCATTTTTAGTGGTGGGCGAGTCCGAGATGTTTAAATGATCGGGATAGTACATTCAATTCGCGTAGATTTTTGGGAACTTTTTTCGTTGAAGGTGTAGCACTTTTTCTTCCATACTGAAATTTTTGTACATCCAATTTGTATAAAGAAAACGCAAAAAAATATTAAAAATCAACATGAATTCTTAGCTGCACTTTCACTTTATAATATTAAAATTGAATCGACTATAAAACTGCATACCGTCAGTTGGTGTCGAACACTCATGCGTTGAGGATGTGATCGCGCTTTTATTGATTTTATTGTTGTCAACAAGCATTTTCGTAAAAGCGCTAGCACAACCTCAACAACAAAGTTATTATTAATGGATAAAAGAGACATCTTTTTGGATTCGGTAATAAGTTTTGACAATTTAATAGCATTTCAAGTGCATATCAAAACTTTGCGACACTCACATATTGACAAGATTTGACCATATATCTTAATATTGTGTATTTTTTTATATAAAATAGTGTTTTCTTAACAAAAAGCCGTACCAAGGTTCAATCTTTTTGCAACATTAAAAAAATCAACACAGCGCAAACAGAAAAATTCAAAAAATCAATGGTATTTTTTAGACACTTCAAACTTGCACCTTATTATACTAGAATGAATGGGCTACAAAACATGTCTACAAATTCTGAACAAAAACTGTGAAAATTTGATGAAACTTTGTTGATTTTTTTCAATCTTTAAAGTTTGAATTTATTTGCAAGGTTTTTGTTTGACAATGAGCTACAATTTTATAAAAAAAAATTATTAAAATTATTTAAAAAAAAAAAATAAATACCGGGTGACCGTGTAATATTGTCAAAGATGAAGACAATGATGATAAAACATTAATACACTATATAGGTCAGTTCATATCAAAATACATAAAATGAGATCACTACCGATAAAATGGAAATCCTCAATGAACATTTTTAATGTCAACGCATGGAATTTACATACATTTTTTTTTACTTTCAACCACCGAATGGCTCAATTACTTCTATTTCTGCAGGGTCGCCATTAGGTAAATTGAATTTCCAAAGATTTTTTCAAAATAAATAGCGATAAGGGATATTTCACCCGCCGGTGATAAGAAATCACAATCGCCATAACGCACATCACTCATATTACTGTTCACAATCACGTTTACATTCAAAATTACAATTCATAATCTCGTTTTGTAGCAAATATGAAATATAGGTATATCCATTTACTTAAATGTAAATGGATTAAGAATCAATGTGCTAGAAGAGATTTGAGCGTTCGGTACAAAAAGTATTTTTGATGTTGAAATTGTACTTAAAATCGGCAAACTGTACTTTTGTACTTTTTAAAATTAATTGTAATGAAAAAAGTACAATTGTACTTAAAATATCAACACTGTTTCACTGGCGTGACAAAGTACTTGCTGCAGCGATGCCAGATTTGACCGTACCCAATTTTTTACCGATAATAACTCATGCGAGGGATTTGGGTAGTGGGCATTTTACAAGCCTACTAGGAAGGATACATATATGTGTTCGTATAGAATAGTAGCTTATGTCGGAAGACTGGCTTTAGTATAATGAACCATAGCAGCATACGATTGCGAAAGACTCACTGGCGCCGAGTCGTTGAAGAACTCTTGGAAAATAAACGTAAAAGAGGCACTTGCGATGCTAGCAATTCAATATTTGTATGGAGTCTCATAAAAAAATTCCTTGTGGTTTAAAGAATATAGGGAATGGTATATTTTACTAAAGCCAGCCTCCCGACATATGCTACTATTTCATACGAACACAAATATATTCGTCTACAAATAATGTTGATTATATTAATTAAGTCCTAAGATAAGTTTGTGAATCTTACCAGTGTTCTATGTAAGAACCAAATATCAATCCCTCGCAAATTAGAACTTTTGCTTTAAAAGAAAAATATGCATAGTGCATTTACTCAATACTTGGTCTGGCATCACTGTTTGAGCATGGATGTGCTCAGCTCACTGTTGCCAAGGTCGTGCATTTTGCACTAAATTTAGTGCTTTTGGGAAACCAAAAAGCCAAAATAATTGGAATTCAATGCTTGGTGCGTTATTTAGTGATGCTTTTTTAATTTAAGCACACCGAATGCATAGGTACATATGTATGTATGTATACACTATACACTAATATTCTACATTAAGATGGAATTCATTTACTGAATAAAATGTGAGGAATAGGTAAATTAAATATGTTTCGCGTTGTTATAAATGTATTGAAATTAATTTATTAATAAAAACGTGAAGAAATGGATATGTATATACACTTTTTACTGAATCAAAAAAATTATTAAACATGATAATAAAAACTTGGCGCTTTTGTTTTGGAAAAATTGCCTTTTTCTGGTGGTCTGATGCCACACTGGCTCAGTTGTCGCAAAAGTACACATGCATACACGCATTTTTACTTGAAAATAAGTGTGTAGTGGTTAATATGTATACGTTGCTGTGCATCCCTAGCGTTAGGTATTAGCTTTACTAGATTGGACTCAGAGATAGACGTTATTTCCCTAATAAGCGATAATTGGCTCCGAATAAGCTGTTTGGGGCGACCGAAACGAAAACGTAGTTGTTCGACTTTGGCATTAACATTGTCCGGATGGATTAATAGGGACTGTACCGTATCTCGAGCCTCCCCTTTCAGACTCTTTTGCAGACGTTGGTTATTTTCCGAATTTGAATATCCATATACAGCAGTGGATTGCATAAACGCGGTATGGAACAGAGGCCACTCCTCCGGGTGCCCACTAAATTCAGGCAAATCCTGCAATTTGCGCGGGGCGAGTGTCTGATATCCAAGGCTAATATTAT